TTCAGTTGCAAAGCTGGTTTAAATCATCAACCAGCCAGCTGCTTGCACTGACAAAATGCCTGACCCGGCCCACCTCGAGGTTAGCCCAAAATGGCGGCCGCCTCTTTTCCTAAAATGGCCGCCATCATGTGCAACCAAACCGAAACCAAAACTGGTATCAGGAGGGCCCAGCCGGCATATGAAACAAAAACCTACTGCAGTAATGACCTCACACCAGGCCTACCTGGCAACCCAAGGCCGAGCCCGGCCTAAGCCTCCACGAGCGGGCCTGTCCAAAGGACGAGGAAAGAAGAGGCAGGAAGCGGGAGGGGGGGTGGGTTCCCGAAACCAGACCCCCGGTGAAGCGACCCACAGGCCTTCCTGGAGGAGGGGGTGACACCCACCCCCACAGGGCCCTGACACAGACCTGTAGGTATTGTTTTCCCTTCTGCTTCGTCTGGTCTTCTTTCTTGAGATCTTCACTCCACTCTCTTCTTCACTCAGATCTTTTCCCACTCTTCAGTCCTCTTTAGTCTGCCTTCACTCAAGAAAACTCTTTTCTTCTTTCTTCTCTTTTCTTCAATCTTGTCTTCTCCCTGGTTGTCGCTGTGTCCTCTCTCTCCGACTTCCAGGCACAGAATGAGACTGGGAGGGCTTGGCCTGTGCTAGCAGGCCACGCCCCCAGATATTCTGGAGAGTTCCACCAGAACTCCTCCCTGCCTCGTGGGAGGCAGACAAATGTTTTTTCTCTCCCCATTTTATGGGGAGAGGAAAACTATTAATTTATGGGATATAGGGCTGTGTGGAAGTCCTTCTCCCCCCCCCCTTCTTATTATCTCACTCCCCTGAAATCCTGGCCATTTGACCCAGCAGCATCCACACTATGGTCACACCTATATATATAAAGTGTGTGTGTGTGTATTTGGGACGATAGTCTCAGGCTTCTTGTGTGAGAGAAGGAGCGCACACACAGAGAAGTCACAAGAAAAATACGAGAGAGTCAAAGGATCTAGGGCCATTTCCCCTAATATCCTTCAACTATACCTGGGTGAAGGAATCAGGCTTAAGAAACCACTTTTTCTGGGTTTTTCCTCTAACATCCTTCAACTAGACCTGGGTTAGAGCATCTGTCTTAAGGAACTACTTTTTCTGGGGTCCTTTCCTCTAATATCCTTCAACTAGACCTTGGGAGGAATTAAATTCTCCCCATGGGGACGCAAGGGAGTCAGGTTATCCTCTCCTTTCAGGAAACCACTCTGAAGGAGTGGAGCCCCTGGTGGTGCAATGGGTTAAATCCTCGGGCTGGCAGGACTGAAGACTGATAGGTTGTAGATTTGAATCAGGAGAAAGCATGGATGACCTCCATCTGTCAGCTCCAGCTCCCCATGCGGGGACATGAGAGAAGCCTCCCACAAAGACAGTAAAATATCTCTTGGGCAACGTTTTTGCAGATGGCCAATTCTCTCACACCAGAAACAACATGCAGTTTCTCAAGTTGCTCCTAACACGAAAAAAAGGGAAACTACGTCAAAACTTAAACAAACATCCCAAATGTCCTTTCACAGCCACCCACAAATTCACACCCATCCTCACTTCCCTAGCAAATAGCAAAAAAGAAAAAGAAGGAATGAAAGATATAAAATTGAGAAAAATAAATGAAATTGCCAAAGGAAAAGACTGGAAATGAGTCCAAAAGCAAGCAAAGCGATCCTAAGAGCAGCAAAGGCACTGAGACAGAACACAGAGCATGTGAGCAGCTTTCTTCTTCTGATTGGCCCAGGCAGGCAGAAGGGCTTACAGCCTCACAGAGAAACCCATGCAGGTACACTGCTGTCTCCCTGCAATCCATGTGTGGCCACAAGTAATGGAAAGCAGCTGTTTTCAGCAGCTGTGTGGCCTGTTGCAGCCAGGGGGAAAAGAGCGGGGGCACTTGTTCCATTACAGCTGGCCAAAAAAGCTGAAACAGCTGGAGTCTGTTTTGAAAAATGGATCTGTGCACAACCCTGTTTGTGACCCTTTTACCTTCAGTTTAATAATAATAATAATAATAATAATAATAATAATAATAATAATAATAACAACACTTTATTTATATTTCACCCTTCTCCCCAAGGGAGCTAAAAGTGGATGACAGTATATACACAGACACAGACAAACATTCAAAGCCTTGTTACAAATGACATACAATGATATAAATACACAAAGAAAGGCAAAGACTTCTCCTTTCATTTCCGGCTCAGAGGTGGTGCGCATCACCAGCTCTAGGGGTGGTGTTCTTTCTCCATTTCCAACCAAAGAGCCTGCATCCGTAGAACCTTTTGGTCATGTGGCTGACAGGACTGCTTGGAGCATCTTTTTGCTTTTTCCCACCAAAGCGGTACCTATTTATCTACTCACTTTTCCATGCTTTCGAATGGCTAGGTTAGCAGGAGCTAGGACTAACAGTGGGAGCTCATCCTGTCATGCGGTTTTAAACTGCCAACCTTCAAGTCAGCAGTTCAGGAGCTAAAGAGTTTAACCCATTGCACCAACACAACCCCTACACAGTTTGTTGTTATTTATATGGCAGTCACATGAAAAAGAGGATAGAGTTCCTATAAACTACCTACTTTAAAGATACAAGAGTCCTTCTTTCCCCCCCTCTAATTATTTCACTATTTTCATTTTGTTTTGCAGTAACAGTGAACAGGGGTGGCTCAACTCATTACGAAAAGTAAGCATTTGCAGTATAGTTGATTTTGCCCAGGGGCGCTCTTGAGGTGCTCTTGAGGGAAAATAGACCTTGACATATGCAAGTTGTAGTTACTGGGATGTATAGTTCACCGACAATCAAAGAGCATTCTGAACTCCACCAATGATGGAATTGAACCAAATATGGCACACAGAACTCCCACGACGAACAGAAAATATATATCAATGATTGGTTGGGGGGAGGGGGGCAAAATACTGTTTGCTTACCATTGAAAATTACTTAGGGCCGCCTCTGACAGTGTATAGGATATAAATTTAACCAGAAGGGGAATTTATAATAGGAAGAAGCAGCACAACATTTAGGAAGTAGTGTGCAATTCACAAAAACCACATCAAGGTTTAAAAGAAAACAAAAATGGAAAAGTGAAATAATGGATAGAGAAGGCACAGAAGCAAGAACAACATGATGTTAGCGCTGTAATCCTATGCATACATACCAATGTCATTCAGTTCAGTGCAATTTATTCCTGAGCAAACATTCACAGGCTGATAATGCAGTCCTAAATCAACAAGTAGATTGCTAGCTGAATTGACGCTAGACTGGTGGAGCTTCTGCAGAATGAAAACAGCTTACCATCAAGAAGGGGCAAGACCCCACATGACATAAACATGGAAACAATGGGGTGGGAAACTCATCTAGCAATATATGGCTTCATGGTGTCAGTTACCAATCATCAGCCAGCATGCTTGTAATTTTGGGCATGGTTAGGAATGTGCTGTGCCAACACTTTCATTCTGTCAGCCGCTAAAGCTAAGAGAATTACTTAGCTTTAGCTAAGTAATGCTGAGTCAGAGTATATCAGCCAAAGGTTTTTAAAATCGGGATGGCATGCAGCCACCCCAAAGCCCCCCAATTTCCCCCTAAAAGTAAAGTAAAAGGTACCTGGAAACCATAACTTCTCTCCTCATGTCCTGATGCAAGGAAATGACGCCTGAGGAGACAGGAGGGGTAAGGAGGAAAATGCCTCCCCCCTCCGATCTCCTTGCACCAGGAGGATGTGAGGAAGCAAGTTATGGAGGTCAGGTACTTTTTACTTGACTTTTAGGGGGTTTGTGGGGAGGATATGGGCACCATCCTGCACCTTTGGGTTCCAGGAGTCCTAAAGGTGTGTGATGGCAAGGGAGACTCACCCCCGGGTAGTCCCAAGACTACTTGAAAGTGAGTCACCACAGGCTCAATACCCGGTTAGACTTAGGCCTTTCAGGAAGACCTGGATCTAATGGGGTATCAACTTAATTCAGAACAAACCAGAGAAACCTTGGCTTTTTCTGAATTAATTCATTTTTAATAGAGATGTCGTTTGGACTCCTCAGGTTAATCCGAAACCCATCATGGGTTTTGGGGCTGTGTGGAAGGGTTCCTAGAATATGTCCAGTTATGTTTGTCTCTCAACTGTGAAAGTTATTTGACTTTCTGTCCCACAAATCTATACTATTTATTCTGCTTCCAGCTGGGTTGGATCTACAAAATTGCTAGCTTGTTAGAACAAATCTAGGGTGATAATTGTAGTTTTTTTTATTTTAAAAAACCCCAAATCTAGGCCTTTGAAATGTGACAAATAGCCTGGTAAATCTGTCCAACACATGGTAATTGTTTGCTTTACTGTCTCACTCATAGAATAACTGATCTCTGTATTTCTGAGCCATTTGTTTAAAAGGACAGCAGCAGCGGTAAATCTGCTGCTTCAGGGATCGTATTACTATACTTGGCAAATATCCCTTAACTTTCTATTTGGACAGTCTATGCTGTCTTGTGCCAGGGACACAGCAACAACACGCCCCATTTTCTCAGCAAATCTTTGCTACCCTGCTGTGAAGAAAACAAGAAAACTGAAATAATACTGCATCAGAGAAACCGAAAAGCCTCTCCTGCTAGTTCTTTCCTCTGAGCATTATTGCACAGTTGATTTTAAAGAAGAAAAAGGAGGAGAAAATGGAGTGCAAAGTGACCAAGGAGGTATGTTGTATTGTTTGATAATTTAGAAATATTAATCAGCAATTTTATGGTAGTTAAAGCAATGTGTCTCTCCAGCCCGCTTTTTCAAATTATACATCATGAGTAGAGCCAAATTTGAGTGCATATTTCTTTGCTGTTGTTCCTAGATAGTAAAGCAAAGCTAGAAACTGGGTAATCTCTCAGTTCCCAAATACGTTTATGTCAAATAACTTAGGGCTCTTCCAGACAGGTCCTATATCCCAGGATCTGATCCCAAGTTTTTTGTTTATCCCTTATTAGCTGGCAGTGTAGACTCATATAAAGCAGTTTAAAACAGAAAACCTGGGATCACATCCCAGGATATAGGGCCTGTATGGCAGGGCCCTTAGTGAGGATGCCAGTCATATACTGTCAACATTGCTGGATTCAGAGTTATGACATTGGGCTCCCCAATTAAGAATTACAATGTGGTTTATTTATAAAGTTAAGTTTATCAAACCTTGAATCCAAGGATCTCAGCTAAGGTAATATATAGAGTTGTGTGTGGAACCATTTCCCTTTGGTACCTCCGGCACCTTCGGTACCTTTGGGAGCACGCAACGGGAAGGGCCCTCCTGGTACGAAAACCTGCCCAACATGAAAGCAAGCAGGAGCAAATCTTGGCTTTTCAGGAGCTCCGTGCGCTCCTTGCATGGGGTTTCCCAGGGAGCCTAACTCTGATGCTTTTAATCTAGGTCTTAATCAGGGGTCCTCAAACTTTTTGAACAGAGGGCTGGGTCACAGTCCCTCAAACTGTTGGAGGGCCGGATTATAATTTGAAAAAAACATGAATGAATTCCTATGCACACTGCACATATCTTATTTGCAGTGCAAAAAACACTTGAAACAATACAATAATTAAAATGAAGAACAATTTTAACAAATATAAACTTATTAATATTTCAATGAGAAGTATGGGCCTACTTTTGGCTGATGAGATAGAATTGTTGTTGTTGTGTGCTTTCAAGTCATTTCAGACTTAGGTTGACCCTGAGCGAGGGCCGGATAAATGACCTTGGAGGGCCGCATCCGGCCCCCGGGCCTTAGTTTGAGGACCCCTGGTCTTAATGAAGGATATATGACCTGACAATTCCATAAAGAGTGGCATCTTAACTCTGATGCTTTTAATCCAGGTTTTTAAAGAAGGATATAAAATCAAACAATTCCAGAAAAGTGATATCTTAACTCTGATGCCTTTAATCCAGGTCTTAATGAAGGATATAAAAACAAACAATCCCAGAAAGAGTGGTATCTTAATTCTGATGCTTCCTGACATTTGGCAGAAAAGAATGGTGCCCTTGCCTCCCTGCTCCTGTTCCTGGAGAAATTAGAGGGCGGGGCCAGCAAGGGATAGGGAATGTTTATAAGGAGGTCTTATTTATAGAAAGAAAAAATTCCTAAAAAATCAGGGGATGACCCAAACATTATAAAACTTGGTGGGCTAACAGTGGTGCTCTCCAAGTGTGGTGATTTTCATCCCTTAGCTCTAAAACTGAAGGGAAGGGGAGCCTGGGAAGCCTACCCATTGCCAAATATTCATTTTTTTTCGTATGCAGAACAAAAATGCCCCTTTGGGAGCGTTCCTGCTTTCAGGAGGCATGCAAGAATGGATATGGGGGCTTCTGGTTTCAAGCAAGAAGAAACAGATGGCTATTTTCCCGAAATGCACAAGCTTAGTAATATAACATCAAGCCAAACAATTTTAAATTAAAACTGCAAAAAAGAACCTAAAACCATATAAAAAGGCAAATAGTACAAATCGACTAAAATATTCAAACCCCATAGAATGGAGAGCATGTGATATTATGCTTTTTTCATATCTCATGTATGCACATGTGTGTATTGACAGGTGAAAGCCAAGGTCCGAATTTCTAAATCTCTCTCAGAGGGTGAAAAAGCATTCATTGCATCAAGAAAAGAAGTGGTGAAGAGGGGCCTTGAGAAACTTGGGATTCCCTGTGATCTGGTAGGATTCAATTTTATCTATTCTGCTTAAAAAACAGACAATTATTTTCTTTCTTGGAACAAGCATAGTTTGATTTTTGGGGAAGGAAAGAGAAAGAAATGTGAGCTCTTTGGGCATGTTCTCCCTAGAGGGAGCATACAACTCCTCTGTTACACCAGGTCCACTGGCTGCTGATCTGCTACCAAGCACATTTCAAAGTGCTGGTTTTAACCTTTAAATCCTTAAAGGGTTCTGGCCCAGATTACCTGTCCGAACGTATCTCCTGTTACAAACCATTGCGAAGTTTAAGATCATCTGGAGAGGCCTTGCTCTCGATCCCACCGCCTTCGCATATGTGATTGGTGGGGACGAGGGACAGGGCCTTCATAGCAGTGGCCCCCAGTCTGTGGAATTCCCTCCCCAGGAACATCAGGTTGGCCACCTCCCCCCTGTCCTTTAGAAGGAAACTCAAGCCTTGGTTGTGGGACCAAGCATTTGACCATTGAATAGCAGCAAGTGAGAAGAAGACATAAACAAATTGAAGCCACAATGAACTGACCCGGACTTTGATTTTAACTGGCATGTTTTTAACAGCTATTTATTTAGTGTGTTGTTTTAATGAATTTGTTGAACCTTTTTATGATTGTGATGGCTCCGAATGGTGCTTGCTGTGAGGCTGCCCTGAGTCCTCCCTCGGGGGTGAGAAGGGTGGGGTACAAGTGTATGAAATAAATAAACAAACAAACAAATAAATAATAGAGGCCAAAAATGATGAGTGTTTTGCTTATTTCTCACATTTCAGGGCTTTTCTGTGAAAATTTCACACATTCTCTTGTACCAAAAAAATCAGTGCAGGCTGAGCATCACCTATAAGGAATTCGGAAATCTGAAATACTCCAAAATCCAAAACTGGCCACACAGTTAGCTGAGATAATGATACTTTTGCTTCCTAATTGTTCAGTGTACGCAAGCTTTGTTTCATGTACAAAATTGTCAAAATTGGTTGAAGCTTCCCAAACTATTTAATATGACAGCTATACCATGCTGGTACCACATTTCTGCCGTATTATTTTTGTGTTCTTTCCTCCCTGCCCACAGAAATCATGATAGGCTGGCAGTTGAATGGCTCACAGACCAATACCTGACTAAGAATCACCTTTCTGAACATCCCTCTTTGTACAAATGACCCCAAAACAAAGGACAGGCCAAAGAAGGAGTGGGGCAAGGCATTCATAATGTGAAAGAAAATAAAAATAATTTGTTAACATGTGCATATTTGAAATTGTGTACTCACCCATATGTATGCAATTGTATAAATACAGCTTACTCAAATGGATACAAATGTGTATGGGAGGAAATATTTTCCATTTAATCTACACAGAATGGACACAGAACAGACTTGGATGTAGCAGTCTACAGAAATGGATTGGACCATCCCTAGACAACAATCCTTATCTTATAACATGTCCTGCGCACATGCTCATATGTCCATAATTTGATAAGTTGTCCATAGGCCATTATGTTAAAAAATTATATGAGGAAATTATCCTGGATCAGATTTTTTTTAAAAAAAATAGAATTTCTCCCTTCACAGAAAAGATGCAACCTCTGTTGCATACTGAATTTCCCACTTTTTGACACTCAATTCATTTCAGCTTTCTCAATTTTGTCATCTTTCCATACCATTGCATATGCTTTTGTGACCACACATTACTTTCTCATCTGACTGTATTATTTAGCTTTTTCATTCATTTGTAAGTAATATATAATACATTATTTAAACTTTTCAACAGCTCAATTGCATTTGCAAGTTGAAAGAAAGACTGAGTTCTGCATGCCCATGATTTTTGGTTTTCGAGAGTGGTCTGGACCATAACCTGTCAATAAGTGGGGAACACTTGTACATTTTGAATGTACAATTGTAATGGAATAACTATCTATGTAAGTGTTGTATGTGAATTTTTGCCACTGAGCACAAGCAAAATCAGATCCCTTTAGACATGCCACCATTTTGTTCTGGATTCCATATGTAAAAACCCACAAGTTAAGACATATGATAAAATGCCAACTATCAATGGCTGAATATGATAAATCCAAAACATGCCAGCCATCACATGCTATTAAAATATGAACTGTGCAGAAACAGATTGTAGAAGCCAGGTATGTTTAATATATCAGACAAAAAACCTGGATTATGTTTGACTGTTCAAGGTTACTTGCTGAATATGTCTTCTTTTCTTTTATTAGGACAAAGTGCCCAACATTGTTTTTCTGGGATCAGGTGGAGGTCTGAGGGCCGCAATTGCTCTTTATGGCACATTAACAGAGCTAAAAAAATGTAATCTCCTGGACTGTGCTATGTATTTGTGTGCGGTGTCAGGTTCTACTTGGTAAGTGCACAGTGGTCAAAGAGAAAATGTTTAATAACAAGAGTACTACTTAATTATGCATAGGCCAATCTCATTTTGAAGCCCAGGACAGCTTTGGGGGATAGAAGTATGGGTTTGTTATAACACATGGATAGTTTGAGGGCACACCTAGAAGCATTTGACAAAGAAATCCTCTCTCTCTCTTTTTTTTTTAAAAACTGCGTTGAGGGAGCACTTTTCAAAAGAAGTACAGGATCTGTTTATTTGAGGAGTTACATACAACGAGGTTGTAAATTGTATTGCTGATCTCAAAACGTCTATATCTACAAAAATATAGATAGTAAAGGTACTATAAATGAAGAAGAATGGACATGCAACCTACAAAGGGGTGAGTATGAGCAAATAAAATAACCTTGATCCTATAAGGGACATAAGGCGCATCCAGATAACACCTATAGTGTGTGCTCTCCTGTGTTTTCCCCTGGGGCATCCAAACAACACTTCAGGGAAAACCCTGCTTTGTCCTGAAGTAATTTGTTTGTTGGAAAGACCCGGAACTTTTAGAAGACTTGGGGCTTTGCAGTGGCAGGTGCTGTGTAGATGAGGACGGGGCTTGTGCCACATGACTTCTGGTGCCCATTTACACATCTGTCTTGGGTTACTTGGGCTTCTGGAACCCATGAAACCTGAGACAACCCCCACCTCCTCCCAAAACCCCTTTAAAATGCCTTTAAAAATAAAACAACTTACCCGGCCGCCATTACACTGCTGCTGACGTTCTCCTGACACATAGAAATGATTAGCTCTGAGTTAAAGGCGTTGGAGTTTAGCCTGTGTTTGTGTTTCAAGATCACGGTGCTTCTGATGTGGGAAATGATGTAGGCAATGATGGCACTGAGGGTCAAGATGGAGATGGTTTGGTTAATAATATCCATGCAGAGAGTGACAGGGAGACACTGCTTTCTTAAAAGCACATATTTTCAACTGGCTATTTTACTATGCTTCAATAAAAAGGATTATTTTCCTATTCATCATGTGTTTTAAAGTCAGAGGGTTATTCCTGTCCTGGAGTGCAACAAAAGGGAGGCAAGAGCCAGAAGCTCTCACCCCATTACCCCTCCATTGCCCAAATGGGAGTAAGAAAGGTACCCTTTCCTTCTTCTTTATCTTCTTTTTCATCCAACATGAAGGAGCCTGAAGAACGTGGGAAACCTGTAATTTTGGGTACATTTGGTGGAGTGGAACAGCTGTATCTGTTTTAGATAAGGCCTTACTGCATTAACTTTTCTGCAGGTTTACTGGAGTAGTTACTTTTGAAATGGCAGGCTGAGTGTCCCTTTTAAAAATGCCTGTTGCCACAGTGCTGCACCTTAAGTACCCATAATGAGTGTGCCATGCTTTCCCTATATTTCATGTATTCCTATTGAGCTATTGGTTCACAGAAAAATACCAAGCTAACATAAAGAAGTTTTCATTCCCATTTCTACAAGCAGTCTTAAAATTATACATTCCAAATTAGAATTGGGATTGAAATTTATTGCTCCTTTTCTAGTTTCAAATGTGTACTTTTTGTCCCATTAAAAGGAGTCTTTCAAGCCTCTGCAAAGATAAAGACTGGTCAGAAAAAATAGAAATTTTGGAAAAACATCATTGCAGAAACCTTGCCCAAGGCTCGTGGAAATTTGAGAAGGCATCTCAAGCTTTGCTGGAGAGTATAGAAAATGAATGTTATTCCTTGACTGAAATCTGGTCCTATTTTCTTATGCATAAAATGCTGAATCAGGTGGGTGCAGAACTAAGTTGAGAATTCTATGATTGCTAAGAGCTACTCTGCCAACTTAGAACCAGAGTGGTGTAGTGGTTTCAGCATTAGACTATGACTTTGGAGACCACTGTTTGATTCTCTGCTTGACCACTTGGTGACCTTGGGCAAGTAATATACTCTCTGTCCCAGAAAGCCATCATAAGTTCCTCTCAGAGTCTCCATAAAACGGAAATGACTTGAAGGCACACAACAATAAAACCCCGGTAATGATATCTCTTTGACACTTTAGTATACTCAACATCATTTTTGTCTCTTCTCAGTTGCTGTGTCTACACTTACCTGAGTAATCTGAAGAGAACCTCTCTGGAGTTGCCCTGATACAGCCCAGGAGTATCTCCAGAGCCATTAGGTTATCCACATGTCTGATTAGTTCAAGTGTGCATTGGAGCTACCACATAAGCGATGACAAATAACTCCCTGCTGCTGATGATATTGCATTTCTGTGTCATATAGCTGAACACCCTGGTGTGACCTCATCAGGAGCGGCATCCCCAGCAGGCCTCTGGCTTCTTATTGGTATTGTGGATGTCCATTTAAATGACTAAAGGGCTATGGAGACAATCCCAAGCTGTTTGGTCCATTGGAGATGTGGCAATGGATGTAGCCAGATCTAGCTGCTCATACTTCTGAAACTTAAGAGCTTCTTGGAAGTTCCAGAATATATCTTGTTTCCCCTTGAGCTGCATTAATAATTGGATGCAACACTTCTGCTGCAAATCCAGCCATTCATTGTCTGGACTATTCCCAGCAGCATCTTTAATTTGACTATGTAGGCATGACCTAAGTCTTCCAAATGCTATATATCTCTTTAGGTCCACCTAAGCATCACAGAAAATATAAACAAAATATTGTTATTGATACTGCAGCATATGATGTGATATGACAGAGCTAGGATGAAATGATCTGGTTGCAAGATATGCCTTTGGAACCAAAACCAAACATACGTGTTTCAAAGCACAATTCTATAGTTTATAGGCTGTGACCTATAAACTCTAATGCAGTGTGGGTACTTTTGTTGTTAGTGCAAGGTTTGAAACATTATTAAATTATTTAAAACTTTTAAATATTCTTTTAAAACTTAATTTTCTTTTAATTCCCCATACTGGGAGAAATCAGGAATACAAACAGAATCGAATAAAAGAAAAAAAATAGAACAGAGATTAGGAATCTTTGAATCTCGGAATATTTTGTATTTCAGCTCCTAGATTCATATCCAGCTAGATTATTGCAAATGGCTGGCAGATGTTGCACCCCCAAATTTCTAGAGGGCCAAAGTTTCCTAATTTCTAACTTAAGTAATTACTGGAAATCTGAAATGGAGGTTGGGAAAAAGCTAAGTAATCAATTAAATTAAAAATCAATTTCTTTCAGTTGGATGAGTCTGAATTGTCTGCCCAAGCAGCATCTTGTGAGAATGGAAAAAATCCATATCCTATATTTTCAGCTGTAGACAAGGAGACGTATCTAACATACAATGAAGGTAGTAATTCTGTGTGTATGTGAGTGTTTATGTGTGTGTGCAACGTGTGTGTAAATTAGTTAAGATAAACTGAAACACTGATAATTTCATTGGAAAAGGAAAAATAATGTCTATACAAATGTTTTCAAAAGCAGGTAGCGGAAAGACTCAGCTAACCAGTTTATCTCATGAGTTGAGATATCCCACACAGATTTTTTTACTTTAGGCCAGAGAAGGGTTGCTCATACATCACTTAGACCCCATGTACAATGAGAATTTAATGCAGTTCAAAGCTAAGCTGCAGTGGCTAGACAACAAACTTTGGGTCCTTCCAGGCAGGCCACAATCCCGAGAGGAACTGGCATTTGGACCTGTGTGAAAGAGCCCTTCCATAAAAGTTCATGAAAGAAAGCCATTAAAGCCTGAAACTGATTCTAGGATTTCCTATGCAGTCATCAGCACAGTGATATCACTTTTTTCAATAGTGATTTGAAACTGATTTAAGTGGTCAGTGTAGGTTTGGCTTTGGAAAAGATATTTGCCTTCAAACATATTTAATCCTCAACGTTTATAGCATTGTGGCAAGATTGCATTTGGTTTGCTTAGCTAAAATACAAAAGATGCAGAGCAAAAAATAATTTGGAAAGGCCACTGAGTGTCAGAGAGGATAAATAATCATTCTACCTTTCCATACCAAATATATTGAGTTGGCAGCACCTCAGTGTTTCCCAATGACCTTGTAGTTAAAAGTAACCCCCTACCTATTACACACACACACACAAACATATTCATACACATGTATCTAAACATTTTAGTAAAAAATTGACCTCTCCCAAAAACCTGGATCATGTTATGTATTGCTTAGTGTGAATGGGATAAATTAACACGCATCCACACACACACTGCCCCCTTCTTTGAGTAGAGTGGTGAAAAATGCAAGCATAGTCCATCCTGGCAGGACCTAAAAAGAAAAATGGACTCCTTTTACATCAATTTCTATGGCATCACTTCTGGGCATTTTGAATCCCTGGGTGGAAAAAGGATCTGCTTAGAGAAAGGAGTGGTTCCCCCCCCCTTTTTGTAAACGTTTATATTGTATCTTATATTTTATTTTAAAAGGCAATAATTGCCTCCTTGAGTATAGTTGCAAAAGGCCTTTTAAAGCCTGATCACAAAAATGGCAGTGGCATCGGCTGTGGACAGCCCCCTCAAATTTGGTGCTGCCCTCTTTTAGAGTAATGGCCCTCAACTTATTCATGGGTCATATTAAAATCCATACATTTGGCTCTAAAAGTTGGCCTTGACTTCTATATGCGACTGACTGATACACAAATATATAGAGAATTCTAAAGAATTTCACTGATCTAATGGATACTAGACACATGAGGGAAATTTGTTCCTACTGTTCCTACCTTTCTTTCATGTCTTCCGTTTCTTCGGAAGCATGAAACGAGAAGCCCCTTTCCCCACAAAAACCTCTTCTTGACACGAAAGACTGTTATTGTGTGCATCTGAACTTGCCCGCTTGTCTTGGAAAAAGAGTGCATGTGTGGTGGGGCATGCAGTCAGGCAGGCCCTCAGTGCAACTGCAGCAGGTGCCAGGTAAGAAGAACACATGCCGGGAAGGGGAAGCAGTAGGTAGGAAGCCTCTCCCCACATAATGGTTCAATTTTCGGGCCCTGAAATGAAAGAACCAAAAATAACCCTCTCAATTTTGGAAGGCTTGCAAAAAATGGATCGGGGCCCCCAACAAAAGCTGGGACATGAAATGGAACAAGGTTTCCTCTGAATGCACATTCCTAATGGATACTCTTTTAGCTTTCCTGGCTGGGGGGGGGGGGGAATAACTTATTGGCACCTCTCCTGAGAATTTAAATTTCTCATTATCTTAAAGATTGTTTCTTCTTACATTTGTTCATTTTTTTACAAGCTACTTGGTTTGAATTTACCCCATATGAAGTTGGATTTCCTGGTCTAGGAGCATATGTAGACACAAAATACTTTGGGAGCTTCTTTGAAAATGGGGAACTGATCAAAGAGAAGAAGGAGAGAGATCTCTGCTATCTCCAAGGTACACCACCACAATTGTTTCCCTTAATTAGATTCTATTATTAGGCTCCATTTACACTGCCATGATAATGTAGACTGAACTGGATTACATGGCAGTGTAGACTCATATAATCCAGTTCAATGCAGTTCAATCTGCATTATATGAGTCTACACTGTCATTTAATGCTGTTTCAGAATGCAGATTAACTGCATTGAATTGGATTATATGATCCAGTTCAATGAAGTTAATTTGAATTCTGACACTGAATTATATGGCAGTGTAGATCCAGCCTTAGACTGCTAAAGTCCAAGCACAACAAGGTAACCTCTATTTTAAATGGGTTGCTTTGTTTGCTTGCCTTACTGAAAGGAATGCAGAGTTTCAATGTACCCTTCAAATCCTCCTTGCATACTTTCAAAATTGCTCTTTCATGCATCATGCAGAACATCAGATATATCAGCATGCCATTCCTGCTAGCAACAAAACTGAAGCTCAGGGAAAAAAATGTGGATGTGTTGATCATATTTAAAATTTCCCTTTTATATGTTTGAAGGAGGCATCTTGAGCACATTAAATTATACCATTTGAAAACGAAATATAAATTTTAGCTTCTTCATTTCCAGTAGAGCACAAGTTTGCTAATATGATAATCTTTTTCATTTTCAGGTTTATGGGGAAGCGCTTGTGCAAGTGACGAAGCACTTTTAAGTTTGATAACAGGTACTGCTCTTTTAGTAGTTGGGCAGGTTCAGGGGCCATTGACTGGCTTGGGTCTCTGATGAGTGTTATATGAGTGGGACAACTCATTCTTTATTCAGAGCCAACTCTAAAGTTCTGGTGGAAGTGGTACTGGAAACTGATTTCATTTCCCTTAGACTCCTTGAAGGGCTGCTGTTAAATTTAATGCCAACATGGGAATGGGAAAAGGGCGGGGGGAAGACACATATTCACTTTAAAGCCAGATATCTGAGGAACAGACACTTTGTTTTAAAATAGATTTGAGCTTCCAAGAATGCAAATCAGCTTTAAAGTATGCTAGTGCAAGTATTGTAAAGTAGAAGTGCTTTTAAATGTCTATTTATATTAATTATTTTCAAATATTTTTTTCCAGAGGGTATGGTAGGGAAAAGGTAGTGAGTAGGGTACTCGTGATAAAAGTAAAGGTTTCCCCTAACATTAAATCTAGTTGTGTCCGACACTGGGGGGGGGGGGGGGGTACCATCACTGCCTGGGGAGCTATAGTCTTTGGTGAAAAAACAAGGACGTGGCAACTTTTCCCCAGGGGATTGCTTCTTGCTTTCCTTTAGAGAACTAGAACTCTCGAGGATCAACAAGACATTATAGATAACTCGAAATAGGCTTTATTGTTTACAAAGCCTATTTCTGAGGCATTAAACTTGATGTTCCAAAAGGGGTAAAGAAAATATACATTACAGTCTCTGGTTGTCTTGGGTCCAAGGAGTTTTCTAGCTGAGTAGCTTCCAAGTTCCCTCTTTCTCAATGACTATGAGGTTGAAACACTCCCAACCGTAGTCCAATGGCCTATATTGAAGGCACAAAGTCRTCCTCTTGATGCCAAAAGACTGGTTTTAAGGCGCTTAAGATTCCTCAATGTTGTCCAGATCGGCTGGGCATGAAGTATGAATCCTAAGGGTATAAACTTGAGAATTGGTGCTAAGAAATGACTTGACCAAGGGCTTTGAGCCAAGCCTTTTGCACGTCCATCTGTTGAGCTTTTGGTGGTAAGAATGAAAACAAAAGTGTTGTTTTCCTCCCTAAAAAAGGGTGGASMCAAATAATTGAGCTGGGGGAGCAAGCCAACTGATGTAAATAAGATTGATTGACAGCTGTAGATAACCAATCAATTCAACTATACATTTACAAGGTAAACAGGCAAGTCTGGACATATTACAACAGTTCAAACCTTTGCAATTTAAAGTTTTACATACAGGTGGTGCCAATTGTGGCATCACAGGGGTGGTGGTAGTGCTTATCTCCATTTGTAAGCCAAAGAGCCAGTGTCGTCTGTAGACACGCCCAAGGTCATGTGTCTGGCATGATTGCATGCAGCGCCATTACCTTCCTGCAGAACTGGTACCTATTGATCTACTCACATCTGCAAGTGTAAGAACTGCTAGGTTGGCAGAAGCTGGGCTTAACTGTGGGACCTCACCTGGTCCCTGGATTTGGTCAACAAGTTCAGCAGCTCAGTGGTTTAACCCACAGTGCCACCACTCGTGATAGTGTTAGTAAATTAAATCTTAACAATAACAAATATCTAGTAAATCAATGAAGAGGAGGAAAATGATAAAGAGGGCAAGGGGAAAAACATTATATAACATAATGTATTACATCCAATGATTGGTTTCTGTTACCCAAACACTCATTACGTATGATACTAAAGTTTTGCAAATCTTTAGTAAATTTAGAAGCATTTTTAAATATGGGGTTATTATCAGCACCATAAAATTTAGAAGGGGTAGGCCAGGCACTGCTGTACGCAAAGGGCTATATTCTCTGCCCTGTTAAGTCTTGAGGAATGAGAAAGTAGTGATTCCATATTGCAACGTTGCTCAGCCACAGGAACGAGTCGTTAGCAATTCCATATTGTGAAATTTTGTTCAAAATTAATGCTCTGAACAATATATTGTCTATTCATTGCTTTAATATTCTGGATGCCATTTGCAATATTGTAACAGCGTTAACCCCTTGTATGTATAACCATTTGCATTTGTCTTACAAGGTTCCTTGGGGGATTTTCTGGAGCAAAACCGGCCTGAAGATACTTCTTCAGCAGACATTGGTAAGATGTCACAGCAATATTTACCGTTTACGCCTCTACTTTGGTTTTCCTGCTCACATCTGCATAATGCTCTGAACCTCAGTTTATTGAACATCCCAATAAACTTTAAATAAAATTTGAAGCCAGCAAATGTTCTGAGTCCAATACACACCAGGTTATCTACAGGACCACCTTTTCTTGTATAATTCTCCCCAAAACACTTAGGTCCTCTGTTGGGGCCTCTGCCCCAGCCTCCCAGAATGCCACCACTCAGAGGACCTTTTCATCAGCCACCCCAATGCTCTGGAATAACTTGTGACCTGCTGGTAGAGTTCGGACAGCTAGATCAGCTGTCAGAATCTGAAAACCATCTAATGACACATCTCTTCCGGCAGGCCTACTACAACAGTTTTTAACTATGAATCTTAAACTCAAGTCCTTTGCTTGATGTCTGCTTTGTGCACTTTAACATGTATTTTATAGAAATGCAGTCTTAATATGGGTCTTTTATAGAAATATGTATAGAGTATTGAAGCAGGGCTGAGCTGAGGAGCAGACGTATGGGAGAGAGCTCCCAAGGATTGCAGGTTTTATGGATTTATTTTTATTAAATAGCCCTATTTTTATTTTATTTTATCAAATTTACCTCAATAAGATTACCACAAAGTGAATGGCTTAATTAAAAGCTCATGAAAGTTTTCTAAACTGAGCAATGGGGAAAAAAAGAAAAGAATGAAGTAGCTTGGTATTAGCTCAGGTTCACTCCCTCAGCCCAAACACGTCAAACTGCCAAGAATTGAAGATTGTTTTGCATGGAAAGGAAATGTAAGTAAAACAAACCTTATTCCTACTTCTAATATGTTCGAAATCCTGGAAGGAGAAACTCATATAGAGCAGGGAATACAACAGATACTGGAGTCTCCCTTGCCTACCAGAAGGGAATTGGGATCATAATAGATGTTGCTATTGTATGCATTTACCCCAGATACCTGCCGCAGGGATCCTGAAAGGAAGCCTAAAACTAAAATGTCAATTAAATAACAAAACCAGAAGGTGGAGACACTGACACAGGGAAACTCAACAGAATTTATGGCAAAACAATGCCTGATCAAAGCACAAACTGTAATTTTGATATTTTTAAAAAATATTTTTATTAAAATTTTCCAAATTATATTTATGAAAAGAGGGAAAAGGGGTAAAAACACAGGGGAGAAGGGAAAAGAGGTAGTTGAGGAAATAAGAGAAGAAAAAAAGTGAAAGAGAGAGAGAGAAAAGGAGGGGGCATCCAAATAGATGCAGAGAAGGTTAGGTATAGGGGTATTTGTGCTTCCATTCTTCCCTATATTGGTTTTAATTTTTCTTATAATCCTTTTTGCTGCTTTTTGCTGTATCCTCCGTGATGGCATCTTCTGACAGCTTTCTTCTATTTAGGTTAATTATTTTATTTTATTTTCCTTCAGCCATTCTGTGAAAGGAGTCCAGTCTTTTGCTTTTTATATATCTACCTTGTGACTTTAATGATGTTAATTTATTCATGCTCATAATTTCAAGCATTTTCTCAATCTATTCTTCTCATGATGGTAGTCTTTTTGTCTCCATACTTGGGCATAGACTAACCTCACCGCCATAGTTGCATATGTGAAGAGTTTATTTTTATTTGTATTCCAGTTCATTTTTGTCATCCCTAATAAAAAATACTTGGGATGCATTGGGAATTTTTCTTTCAGTATTTTTTTTGGCATAATTTATGAATTTCTTTCCAAAATCCTCTTGCTTTGTCACATGACCACCACATAAAGTAAAAAGATCCTTCTTGTTTCTCGCACTTCCAACAATTGTGATTGTTGTAATTTTGATATTTGATCAGTTATCAGATATAAAAGATAAGCTGGATGAGCCTAAAGGTGATATGGAGGTCCTTCTGCAAAAACATGACTCCAGTCCTTTTACTAATACCTGCATTGCTTGTGGAACAGAAGTGCTTGAGCCTCATATTTCTGTCCAGTGTGCTGAGAAAGAGCAATTGGTTAAAGAAAAATTTAAAAGACTGGATAAAAAGTTGCAGTCCCAAAAGAGCACCCATCTAACTTTTGATAAGATAAAGGGCAGAAACTGGAGAAATATGTATATTTGCTGAATTTTTGCATGTTGGCGTTTTTAAAATTGTGTTGTTACCCACCTCGAGCCACAGGGAGAGGCAGCTAAGAAATAAAATAATAATAATTTGATATACAACAAGATTAATACACAGCAACAAGATCACTATGCTGGCTTTTGTATTCGATCACATGTCAGACATTTCTCGTGTCCAGGGCTGTGTGATGTATCGGCAAATAATGTGTGCAGATCTGAGTAGGGTGTCTTTTTGCAGTTGACATATGGTAAATAATAATAATAATAATAATAATAATAATAATAATGATGATGATGATGATAATCAGGCCCATATCCAATTAGTCATCTAATTCATTTATAGGGACTGCAAATATTCCATATAATATAGCAAAATGACATCAGAACAAGCAGTCATACATTTACATTAATCCAAGAAAAATGAATAGATACCAGCAGTGGCAGAATCAATACAGGTTGAGGATTACAACTGAATGTTGCAGTATGAAGTGCTTCCTGATTAAAAGCCAGCTGTTTCCACTCTTTATATCCAGTCCTCATTGGACTTTTTTGATAGCTTCTTCCTCTTAGCCTTTCCTCTATTTTTGATACTTTTGCTAACTTTGGATCCCCTCAAATCTGCCAATGCCTTTGTCCTGTATGCTTTTGAATAGCATGACTTCAACCAAAGGGCAAAATGGCTTACAGCCCAAATTTTGGAATTATTATACTAAGGACTCTGATTTCCCATTTTATGGGGACAGTTTCTGTTTGCTTCTGTTCTGTAGTCTTGATTTTTTTTTTAAAAAAAGAGAGCTTTAAATGAGCTGAAAAGAGGACACTAGGATACCATTTACAACTCTGTTTCCTGCTGTGTTTCATTCTTAGACAAAGATGATCAGAAACTCAATAAACTCTTCAAGGCTTATCAGTCTGTTCTGGAACTTAAGATGTCTAAGGGCACTGAAGCAGATAAACAGTTTGACCAGCTGGAGACTATCCTGGACGGTATGTAAACTTCAGCCCCAAGATTTCCTTTATGAGTTATGTTTCTTTAATTAAAAGCTCTTTTCTCAGTAAGATCCAAGCTTACGTTCAATGAATGCAGTCATCTGAATGGATGCACCAATAAAATCTTAAGCAGGAGCTGAACAATCAACAACGCCACAAAACTACAAAAATAGCAGTGAAATGGAGGGCGGATCAAGACAGACATTTTATTGCGGAAACTTCTGCAATAAAAGGGAGCTGTCCAGACAACGTTGTGGACAATCCCAAATTAATTCACCACAAACCAAGAAAATTAATTTGATAGTGGGTTTATTCCATGCTTTCTTGGAAGGTGCGGGATAAACCCACTACTGCCAGTGTGTGGACTGCAGTCTTGACACCATTACCCAACCTCCATTGAAGAGATGTAGCAGCTCTCCTGGTGCATGAAAATGATGCACCAGGAAAATGGGAAGGGGGGGGGGAATCATTTCTATGCACCAGGAGAGCTGCTGCAGCTCTCCAATGAAGGTTGAGTAAGTACTTTTATTTCTCAAAGGGGAGGGGGAAAGAGTCTCCAGGTGTTCTCCTGGGCCAGTCCCGGAAGAACATTTGGACACCCACCACAACATAACATTGCAAAAAACAGGATTTTTTTTGCTCCTGCTACATAGCATTGCAAAAAACAGGATTTCAGTCACTGTACACTCAAAGCCCAGTCAATTTAAAACTTGGCGTCTCAAAATACATTGAGACGGCACGCAAAGCAGCTGAAAGATCACAGCCATATAACCCAGTAACCGCACAACACCCCAGCTGAAATAAATTGATAAGACATCACAAAGTAGGGATGCTATTCTTTACTAACTGTCTTCTGAAAGGAAGCAATGACTAATTTTAGTGATTTTTCTTCTTCTCTTGAGAAATTCTTCAATAATTGGTCGATTTTTGAAGATGATTTGCAGTTCGAGACTTATTCTGGGCAAATTCAACACATTGTATTTTCTGCACAGAAAACAACCTTTTCTGTGTGAGAAATAATATTTCTGCTCATAAATGTTGTTTCCTTAATAGGTTTTGTTGTTTTCTGTGCAAAAAGTGTCCTTCCCACTTGTCGCACACAAGGATTATCCATCTCAGTGACTCAGTTGGCTTTCCCTTTCATACTGATAATTTTACATTGGGCTACCTTTGTACCAAGTTTAAAAATGCCAGTTAGCTTGAAATATGGCAGCCAGATTGGTTACAGGAACATCTAGGAGTGAGCATATCATCCCTATACTAAAGTCACTTCACTTGCTGCCAATTCATTTCTCAGCAAAGTACAAAGTGTTGGTTTTGAGCTTTAAGGCCCTACATGGTTTGGGTCCAGGTTTCCTACAGGATAACCTTCCCGTGCACAATCCACCCCAAACACTTAGGTCCGTGGGGGGGGGGGGGGACGGGACAACACACTGCTCCAGCCTTCCAGAACCTGGCTGCCATCCACCACCCAGAGGATCTTTTCATCAGCCACCCCAAGACTGTGGACTGACCTGCCAGAAGAGCTCTGATAGCTAAATGATATGTTGAAATTTAAAATACATTTGAAGCCCTATCTCTTTTGGCAAACTTATCCAGTCAGTTTTAATCATGAATTTGAAACACATGCCTTGTGTTCACTATATGCATTCACAGACTGCCATGCTGGGACTGCCCTGTTGGGAGTGGCTCAGAACCTCATGTCTGCCATGACAATGATGGGTCTCTCCCAGTTAGTCCAACACATGCTGCTGGACACACTCTAGACCTTGTATTTTGTACAGAGGGTGGGATGGTGATGAGCTGGCAATGGAGGAGCATTCTGTGGCATTGTTGTCATGGACAAGTCACTACGTAACTAGATTTAGACTGAATAGGACTCGGAAACTTTGCAGGGATGGAGGACCCATTAAAATTGTTTGCCCCAGGAGGCTTATGGATCTGGATGTATTCCTGATGGCTCTTGGGGGATTTCCTGTTACTTGGGCAGGTTGGTGTTATTATCATTATTTCCCCTTCCACAAATGTGGTTGTTGTGTGCTTTCAAGTCATTCTGACCTATGATGCCCCAAGATTAATCTATCAAGGGTTTTATTGGTAAGATTTCTTTGAAAGGGTTGGCCCTTGCCAATGTGAGTTGCCCAAGGTCACCCATGAGTAAGGATTTGAATTCTATACTCCAGAGTCGTAGTCCAAAGCTCAAACCAACACATAAATACATAAATAAATAAAATAAACACATACATTCTTAAGGCTTACTGTCATGGAATAAAATTTGCTCTCACAGTAAAACTGGTCTTTATTCTTTAAGCTATTGATATACATTCCGACATTTTTGTTGACTTAAGCTTATAAAAGCCTGCAAAGTTTTCAGAATATAATGGTTCCATTTCTATTCTGTATAATGAATTAAACAAACCAGGGCAACAATAACAAAAAAGCAAAATTGATTTTAATTAAGCTGCTATCTTATGCCTACTTACTTGTGAATAAGCCCAATTGATCTGAAAATTAACCCTCCCCATTAACCTCATTTTCTTGAACATTTCATGCTTATCACTCTATTTCCTTAGGTGCCTGGAAAATCTATTTTTCCTCTGTGTTAATCTACCACATTTTCCCCTACCTTTCACAAAGGTTTCAGCAAAAGTTGCAAGTTGCTCAAAAGCATTCGCCAGACCTGGACTTCTGCAGATTCGGAAAGAAAAAAAGAATGTATTAATCTGAGTCAAGCTATGGATGAAGATTATGGGGGTAAGTATTGTAGTGGCCAGATTTTGCTTTGAATGGCAGTTTATTTTAGTAGTTCTTTTAATCATTTTGTCTGTACATGCTAAAAGTACATACTGTTGTTTGCAATGTTGCTGTTTTTTAAATAGTCACAGATTCTGTCAAATTTATGAGTAAAGATGCATGAAGTAACACTAGCACAAACACATTCCTAAGGATTCTGCTTGGTCTTGTCTGGGAAGAAGTCCATCGGTGCTGCTCCCACTCAAAACTAGAGAAGTAAAATGCTTACATCTGTGGGGATAGCAAATACAGGAATTATTACATATATCTTTCTGTTAAAATTTAATGGAGAAAAGGCTACTAGTCATGGTGGCTGTAGATCATACCCAATTATCAAAATTAACATAACCTGAAAACCATCTTTGAGACTGTGCAGCTGGAATTATATCCTGATTATGGGCTTTTAGATGGTTACTGTCCAAATAGAATAGATTATTGGTCCATTCCTTAAGTTTGAAGCACTTGAAAAGTAATTTGGGGATGCATTTTTCAATTATGGTTTTTAATTACCTTGCCATTCTTAGCTCTATATATCATTTCTTGCAGGATTTGCAAATCATTCCTATAATGTTTTATATAATGTAATGAGAAAGACATTTTTGTGCCTTTTGAGTTGGACATGGGGAACCACATACAACTTCTTGTACCACTGCTGTAAGTTTCCATCAAAGATATATTCATTTTCATATGCATAAATACATCCTTTGTGTGAATATTATACACTTCAGCTGTAGGATAACACTCTTATGGGACATTCTTAGGTATGTCTCAGCTACATTAGCATGAATGGGAAGGAGGGAGGCTTGGTCAGAAATGGTATCTGTCACCTCTATAATTGCCTACCCCTTATTTAAAACATTTATCCTACTGTTGGCACAATATTCTCACAATCATCCATAGCAACGGTGGCATTAATGTCAGTTTATAATAGCTAGGAAATTTATACTGGTTTTATCAGGTTTTATCTTTATTCCATTATATGTGGTTAGCTGATGTTGAATTTCCAGAGCTGACAAGTAAGCAGGTCCTTGAGCTGATCGATGCTGGTTCTACCATAAACACTGCTTACCCATCCGCTCTGAGGCCTGAGCGAGAAGTAAAGCTGATAATCTCCTTTGATTACAGTGCTCAAGATCCTTTTCTGGTAACTATTATTTTTTTCAAACTACTCTTTAATACTGGACAGTACTACTAGCCTGGCGGAAATCTACAACAGTTAGTCTAAGGATGGAGACTTTTTCACTTACTAAATGTTTATACACACGAAATGAAGCATTTCAAAAATTGTCTCTCTGCTGGGTGAGTTTAAAATATTTTTGCATATGTTTTTTCAAAGATTCACACTCTTCATTTTGTGATAATGTTCTGCAAAAATGTTTGCAAACAAAAAGGGCCCCCTCAAATAGACCTGAAATAAAAGAAGTAGACTGACAAAACATCTGGCAAAAATAGCCACATCTATATAAATAAAAATGTAATGTTCGTTTGAGATATTAACAGAACTCAAAAACCGCTGGGAAAATTGACACCAAATTTGGACACAACACAGCATTCAGGGCAATCTATGTCCTGCATTCAAAAAAATTCCTCCCAAAAAACAGTAAGACCTTAAATTTTAAAAGAGAACACTGCACATGTGTTCAAACCCATTCTCTTCCCCCCGCCGAGTGAGCACAGCCGAGTGCGAGAGGCACCAACGGCATGCCCAACAGGCAACCAGGCGAGAAGGCATCCCGCAGCCATGGCAGAAAAAAGGGGCAGTGCTGGGTGAGTGAGGCCTGCCTCAAAAGCGCCTCCCTCTCGCCTGCTCCACGCCTGAATCCAAGGATCCTTCCTTCCAGCGCCCAGGCAAGAGGTAAAGAAGGGAAGGAAGGGAAGCGGCAGAGAAGAAAGGAGAGAGAGAAAGAGGGAGGGAAAGAAAGCAGGAAAGAGAGAAGGAGGGATGGAAGCAAAGAGCAAAGGAAGGAAAGAGGGAGAGAAGGAAGAAAGGAGAGAAAGAAGGAAAAGAACAGGGGAGAGAGGGAGGAAAGAGAAGGAAAGGAAAAAAGGAAAGGAAGAAGGAAAGAGGGAGAGAAGGAAGGAAGGCGAGAGAGAAAGAGGGAGGGAAGGTTGGCCACAGCACCTACTAACCCAAGGAGTGACTATCACTCAAAAATTGAGTTTGTTATTTGGGAGTTGTAGTTCCTGGGATTTATAGTTCACCTACAATCAAAGAGCATTCTGAACGTCACCAACAATGGAATTGAACCAATCTTGGCACACAGGACTCCCATGACAAACAGAAAACACTAGAAGGGTTTGGTTGGCATTGACCTTGAGTTTGGGAGTTGTAGTTCACCTACATCCAGAGAGCACTGTGGACTCAAACAATGATGGATCTGGACCAAACTTGGCACGAATGTTTCATAAGCCCAAATATGGACACAGATGGAGTTTGAGGGACACTGACATTTGGGAGTTGTAGTTACTGGGATTTATAGTTCACCTACAATCAAAGAGCATTCTGAACCCCACCAACGACAGAATTGGGGCAAACTTCCCACACAGAACCCCCATACTGAAGGCCATCCAGTCCAACTCCCTTCACCAGGGCAAGAAAACATAATCAAAGCCCTCCTGACAAAGGAGCCATCCAGCCATAGATTAGATAGATAGAAATGATTCACACACAGAGAGATATAGTATAAATTTGAAAGTGACCCCTAAAGAAGGACAATCTCCATATTGCATGTTCCAGAGCAGGGAAACCAGACAATCTCCACATCAACACTGACATAGAAACAGCAAGAAATACTGTTGACCCACAAGCATAAAGACATTACATACATTAGAAACCAGCACTTTCTCATTACTTGATTTTCCAGGTCACCAGACTGGGCCACAGCAACACGTGGCAGGGGACAGCTAGTAGGATCATAATAGTGCAACCACAGAGGCCCCTTCAACACAGCTGAATAAAACCCCACAGTATCTGCTTTGAACTGGAATATATGACAGTGTGGTTTCAGATAACTCAGTTCAAAATTTTCTGCCTTGCTATTCTGGGTTATATGGCTGTGTGTAAGGGCCCAGAGAGTGATGCTATTGAAACAACCTACATTATCTGAGATACCTTATTTTTTACCAGATTCCTGGATAAAACCTAAATAATTGAGGGCCCTGTCTCCAGCCAATAACACCTAGTAGACTGTGAAACCAAGATGAGACTTTCAAGTAAATTTTGCAATTAACAATATTTTTTCATATTGGTTCAGACCATTAAAAAAGCTTCTGAGTATTGTAAAGCACTTGGAATCCCATTTCCTGAGATAAATGAGAGAGAAATGGAAGACACAGATAATCCATCTGATTGCTACATCTTCAGAGGAGAACAGGGTCCGACTGTCATGCATTGCCCACTGTTCAACAAAGTGAATTGTCCAGGTAAAAAAAAGGAATAGGATACATGTGGGAAATATCGTGTTGAGATATTGCTGACAAAAATTTGTGATCTAGTGCTGTAGATTCACTGAAAGTAAAATAAAGACATTGTTCCCTTCAAATTAGAATCCTGCCATACTTCATTTTCTACATTTCTATCCTTGCAGTACAGCCGACTCCACATATCCATGGTTCTGTATCCACAGATTCATTCATCTATGTATTCATTCATCTATGTATTGCTTGAAAATATTCCCCCCCCCCCCAAATTCCCAAGAACTAACACTGATTTTGCAATTTTATAAAGGGACACAATTTTACTTTTTTTTGTTTGTGTCAAGAGTGACTTGAGTAACTGCAAGTCACTTCTGGTTTGAGAGAATTTGCTGTCTGCAAAGATGTTGCCCAGGGGATGCCCGGATGTTTTGATGTTTTACCATCTTTGTGGGAGGCTTCTCTCATGTCCCCGCATGGGAAGCTAGAGCTGATAGACAGAGCTCATCTACGCTATCCCCGGATTCGAACCTCCGACCTGTCGGTCTTCAGTTCTGCTCGCACAAGGGTTTATTTATTAATTATTTACTTGCAGTATTTGAATACCACACTTCTCAACCCTGAAGGTGACTTAGGGTGGTTCACAGTGTTGGCAACAATTCAATGCCATCAATAAAAAACAGTATAAACATCAAAATTGACCTTCCTCTGATAAAACATTAAACATTATTAAATACATCACACAAAATAACATCACATATCACACAAAGACATAGCCATTGTGCCACCGGTTGTTGTTGTTGTTCATTCGTTCAGTCGTCTCCGACTCTTTGTGACCTCAATGACCAGCCCACGCCAGAGTTCCCTGTCGGCCGTCACCACCCTCAGCTCCTTCAAGGTCAGTCCAGTCGCTTCAAGGATGCCATCCATCCATCTTGCCCTTGGTCGGCCCCTCTTCCTTTTACCTTCCACTTTCCCCAACATAATTGTCTTCTCTAGGCTTTGCTGTCTCCTCATGATGTGGCCAAAGTACTTCAACTTTGTCTCTAGTATCCTTCCCTCCAATGAGCAGTTGGGCTTTATTTCCTGGAGGATGGACTGGTTGGATCTTCTCGCAGTCCAAAGCACTCTCAGAACTTTCCTCCAGCACCATAGTTCAAAAGCATCTATCTTCCTTCGCTCAGCCTTTCCTAAGGTCCAGCTCTCACATCCGTAGGTTACTACAGGGAATACCATTGCTTTGACTATGCGGATCTTTGTTGCCAGTGTGATGTCTCTGCTCTTTACTATTTTATCGAGATTGGCCATTGCTCTCCTCCCAAGAAGTAAGCGTCTTCTGATTTCCTGGCCAGTCTGCATCTGCCGTAATCTTTGCACCTAGAAATACAAAGTCTGTTACGGCCTCCACGTTTTCTCCCTCTATTTCCCAGTTGTCAATCATTCTTGTTGCCATAATCTTGGTTTTTTT